ATCAGTGATTAATTACTCTTCACTTCCAATGCTGGCCTTTTCTGAGATTAAATTAGTGTTAAGATACTTTATAATTTGAATGTGTATGCTTCTTTTTTCCATGTAACTTGTGTTAGACTATGTTTTGGCAACCATATCTCCTTCCTTAGTATTTTTTAAAGTATTTTTAAAAGCATTTTGTTCTGGAAACTTGTAACAGAAGTACTGTCATTGTATCAAACTGTTGCTCTGGTATGGAAAACAGAAATCTGCCCTCTTGTGGGTAAGTCTGTATGATGTACTTAGTCACAATATCTTATTTGAATGAGAACTAGAGGATATTAATTAGTTCTCTTTCTACCTCTCTCCGTCATTCTTTAAGTGACTTTTTTATTTTTTATTTTTTTAGGACAGTTTATGGACTGATAACTAGCAGAGCTTCATGTAGTATCTAACAAGAAAAGTAGTTTATTGCAAAATATGGAAGCTTAAAACTGGCTATGAGGCAAGGCTCCTTAAATTTATAATAGCATGTTTGCTGTTTTAAAAGAAAAGTCCACTGCTCACCTAAATTATAAAGTAGCTAATAAATGAGTTGTACTGGTTTACTTTGTGCAGCTGCAGAAATCAACTTTGATCATGGTGCTGTGGTTACATCAATACAATGCTACTCAACATATAGGAAATGAAAATCACTTTTAAAAGTATTTTCATTCTAACTAAAGATTTCATAATCTAAACTAAATAAAACATAACTGTATTTAAAGTATTCTATTTAATAGAATGCTTTTAAAAAAGAAAACTATAGAGACCTAATATCCTAGCCCTTCTTAAAATTAGGTGGATTAAAATTAAATTTTAATCTCTAACTTTCTCAGAAATATATTAGATTAGTCATATATAAGTTATTTTTTTAAATCTAAAGATACAATAAGTTAAAGAATACCCTGGAGTATGGGGAATGAAACATTTAAATGTACATACTAAATTTCTGAATCCTGAGGTGTTACTTATATTTGCATTACTACTGAGCCTGTGTATTACTGCACATAAACAGATTTTTCCCTTTATTTTGTTTTCCACCATTTTCATGCATGTACATAGCTAAGCCATGGAAGAACTGATATTTTTGTTGAGGAGACAAGAATGTATTTCAACCAAGAGGAATGTTTCATAAATGCAGAGCTTGAACCTTTGTGTGATAACTAGTGGTCAGAGTCCTCTGGTCATTTCATTGATAGTCAGATGCTGTAATATCTGAAAAAAAAATTAATTGCAGGTTTTTTTCTTTTTTATTGACTTTTTTTGTGGGTGGTTTGGTTTTGTTTGTTTGTTTAGTGTGGGGTTTTTTGCTTTGGTTGCTTGTTTGGTGTGAGGTTTTGGTTTTTTGTTTGCTTGTTTTTCTTCCCTGGTTGTAGTCTGTCTGTCTTTTCACTGAGTGATCACTGATTCTTTACCTAAATTGTTCACAACTTACTTTCCTCACTTCCTTCCTTAATTTTACCCATGCCTGTCCATTCTCTCTGAAGAGATTTTTTTTTTCTTGTTAGTTTTCTACTCTGCCCTTAACCCAGTACTATGGTGAGAAATGCAGTATATATAGAGAGATGAGTTGTTGAGAAGATCTGCATGACATGACCCAAACCTTGCGCCACTGAAGGCAGTAATGTTATGGACTGTTTTACCAAACACATATTTACTTTCTACTTAAAAAAAACACCAACTAAACAAAAAAAATCCAAACAACCCTCAACATTTTAAATTTAACATTTTGATAGGAATTTTCTTTGGAATGTTAATTTGTCGTAAAGGAAAATATGCAAATATAATTGACAAAAAAAAAGGGAAGAAGATAACATACAGAAGTAGTACTTTAAATGTGTAGTTATTATCCATAGCATAAATTTTTAAAATATTACTTTCCTTGCTGTCTTGGCTTGGCTTAACTTTTTTATTGTGTATTATGATGCTAGCTTTTCATATATTATTCTCAGTATATGCTGCCCTTTCACTGTTTTCCTTTTACTAAGGGGTGGTTCTTTGTATCACTTCCTTTGTGCACTGTAGTTTCTTCCTCTCTGGAATGTCTTTTATAATATCCGTTGTTTCTTATAAAGCAGCAAGAGTCTAAATACGCATATACTGAATATGCAAGACCTCCTTTACATATATGTAGATTGGGTTTCTACTTCTCTGTTCGAACTGCTACACTCTGATGCACTGTTTAAAAGCCTTCCAATGCAGCAGTTCTTTGATTTCCTTAATTCAGCTAATATTTAACTAACAGTTTCATTTTTTTCGGTCTAGGGATAGAAACGCTGTTCTACTGGTAATAGCTACTGTACAAAGCTGATAATGTAAAATTTTCTAAATATTGATAAATGTTGATTCTTCTTGACTAATTGTGAGCTGCTACAATGTATTACTTTTAACTGTTGTTACAGTTGGGGAATGAAAAAACAAAACACAACAAAACTTGTCTGTCAGTCAAGCCATTAATTGTTGAATGCTGTTCTGATGTTTTGTATGAAAGAATGTATCTTGTCTTGAGCTGTCAAATTTTTTTTCCCGAACTGCTTGATATTTTGAATTCCCTAAATGAGTGGGTTTAGTAATGTTCTCAATGACATCAAATTTGAGTTCTAGTTTCACTGGACCTCAGTCTCTAGTTCTGGAATTGAATCCTACCTTGTTTGCCAGTTTTGCAGATACAGTTTTGCTCTCAATGCAACAGATGTAATATTTGGACCCAGATATTCCTACATGGTTTCTTCATATTGTGCTTGTTGTATAAACTAATCCCATCACTTAGTCCCGTCAGTTTTTTGTTTGCTCTCATCTGTTTACCCACATTGTCATACTTACAAAAACTTCGTAGTGTTAAGAGACAGACTTCTTGAATCGTAGTGCTTAGTTCCCAGCTGGTGCAGGCAACCATATCCTGTTCCTTCTGTAACATCTGTATGATCCATCTTTAAAGTAATGGTGTTGCTTATCTATGCTACTACTCCTAATGGCAGGCTGTTCCGGAAAGTGGCATCTCTGATGGTGAGAAGTTCTGTTCTGATTTTCTTCTTGCTTGCGTTCATGGCCCCCACTTAATGTTGTGTTAGCATTACCCTATAGTATTCTTCCTTTGTAACCTTCTTTGACTGCTTTAGAGAGAGCTATTACATCCCCTCTTGACCCTTATTTTGTTAGCTAAGCAAACCAACCCCTTCTACTCTCCTCTTAGAAAGCTTACTCTTCCCCTGACCATCCTAGCTCTCTGTTCCACTCTCAGGTCTTGATCTTGCCAGTTCATATTTCTTATTGTGTATCTGTGGAGAAGGTTTCTAATTTAAGTGTCTAGTTTTGGAGGATTTTTTTCCCATTGAATATCTGTATAACTTAATTATTGTGGCAGTAACACCAGGAAAGAACTTGCATTTGTAGTGAAGGCCTCTGATGTATACAGCTTTCCCAGGCAATTAGGAAGGGAAAGTGAACAGATCCGTGCTCCCCCCCCTTGTTTCCATGTTACATACAGGATTTCCAATAATACTGACTAGTGACATGACCTTAGTCAGCTTTGCAGTTTCAGTCAGGAGAGGAGAGAACATCAGATGTGACCTTTTTCTTGTATATACAACTTATGTGTGAAAGGTGTTCTTTAACTACTTACCTTTCAATGAAAACTTAAATTCTAAAAGCATTGTCAGCTCTTGTGGGTTTGCTGTTGCAGACTCATTGTGGGAAAAGTTAGGTCCTTTTCTTTATTTTTTTTATTTTTTTTTTCTTTAAGAATTGCTTGTTTATGGAACTGAGAAACCACTGAAATTGTGTGTATATTGGTATTCGTTTCGGGTAAAGAAACTCCAGTATCAAGTAGTATTTGAAACTGCTCTGGATGTTTGAAGGCTGTTTTCTCCTGGATTAAAAAAAAAAAACAACAAACCAAACACAACCCACATAACATATCTATCTGCAGCAGTTTCCTTAACTAGATTTCTGCACCTGTAATGTACTATACTTTTAGTAAACAAATGTAATTTAGTGGTGGGAATGAGCCTGTGGCAGTTGCAGCAGTTCCTTTCCTTTAATTTATTTTGTTTGTCTTCAGAAAATATCATGCTCAATTTTTGTCATTTTGTTAGTATAACAATAGTGGATTGTAATGTGTAATCTTTCTAAATTTTTGTTGTTTTGGAACTGCAGTTGAAATCATTGTGATGATCTTTTGGGGGGAGTTGATGTGTGGGGGGTTGGGTTTTTTTGTCCTTTTTTTTTTTTTTTTAAATAGCGTGGACTTCCTTACAACTGGGATCTTTATAGTTAGTGAAAACTGGATGAACAAATTCCTTTTCAATAGTTGAATATAAACTGTGCTGTTTTACAGGAAATAGAGCTAGTTCAGTGTGACTAAACCTTTTCTTTCTGTGGAGTGGGTGAAACAGTTCCTGGTAGTAGTTTGATCAGAGAATGTTTAATATTAAAGACACATTTTCAGATCAATGTTGAAATAGCTACTGCTTTTAAAATATACTAAGATTTTGTATTTGTTGCTTTATTTACTATTTGACTTTTGCATCTGTGGATTATTCCTTTTGGTTTTGCTAGCTTCTTATATGAAAAATATCTCTTTCTCCAAAATTGGGAAGTGAATATAGCAGCTAATTACTTAAACTGGTTATGGATTGTGTTGTCCACTGCAGTATGAACCAACAGAAGTTTTGTTACCAATTTTTGAGTTGGTACTGTATAACCTGGGCAAATTTTCTTTTGGTTGCCTTATCTTGCATCTTTTTTGGTGAAGGGCTCTGCTTCTGAGACCAAAAGCTTGCCTTTTGATTGCTTAATGCCATTTGATATTTAAATTCTACATTATTCTACCCACCTTTGACAAAATTTATTTAGTATGCAGCTGAGGTTATGGTCTGTGTTTCATTTATGTTATTGAATTTAAAATTCTTTTAAGTAAACCAAGAATTTTAATTTGTTTTTTTTGTGTGTGTGTTTTTTGTTTTGTTTTGTTTTGGTTTTTTTTTAGTGCTTGGGAGATGGGAAGTAATGATAGCTGGCACCTGAACTAAAATATCTGTGTAGGCACTACTATCCCAGAACTTCAGGATGAATGGGGATATGCCTCATGTTCCCATCACTACTCTTGCAGGGATTGCTAGTCTTACAGACCGTAAGTACTCTTCTTTTTTTTTTTTTTTTTTTTGTCTTTGCTATGTTCCCTTCTACCTCTTCAGTAAATATCTGCATTTTCAAAATATTAAAAATAGTTTTATTTTAAATGTTCTTAAAAGTAAATCTGTTCAAAATCAGATTTGGTATTAAAAATGTTAATTTTGTCATTGCTCAAATTTTAAAAATATATTCAAACAAAATATGCTAATTTAAACATGAAATGAAATGTAGATTAAAAAACCAACCTTAAGTAAATGCAAAACATAAAATATAGAAATTGATTTTTTGTTTGAAATATCATTCAGTAACATATCTGGGTACCTCCCAAATAAAGAAAAACATATAAATGATAAAATACTTCTCTAAAACATACATCTCATCATCTTCACTGAAAAAAGAGAGAGAAAGAGAAGATTAGACTGATCTTCAGCTAGAGTGAGTTGTGGAATATGCTCAACATACTTGAAACCTAGTTCCTTAGTTTTGGACAAAGTACAAAAAAGTTGCTCTAATTAACAGGTGCAAAGAATGGCTGCTAGAATGGAAATAAGCAGCTGAACCAATGAGGCTTCTTTCTTGGCTGTTCAGCCTACAAAAGGAACAGATGAGGTGTGTGTGCTGTCTTTAAATATGTCAGGAAGACAAGATGCAAGGAAAGGAAAAGAACTGTTTGCATTAAAAGCTGATACTGGTGCAAAAGCAAATGGTTATAATCTGACCAAAAATAAATTCCTAGTGGAAACTAAGAGGAGATTTATGATTTCTATAATGAGGTGCTAGAACAACCACTTCAATAAGAGAAGTTGGGACAAAGATGCATCTTGTTTATAAAGTGTAAGCAAGAGTTTATAGCTCAGTTGTCTGTCTGAGGATACTCGAACTTAGTGACTCCAGTGCTTCTTCTGAGCTCTTGTTTTTATTATTATACTGTTGAAATTTGGAGACTTTCCAGGAGACACTGGTCTATACCCAGCAATTGAATTTAATTGCCTACAGTAAAAAAAGCAGATGTATTCGAGGTGAAAAAACCCACTTCTTCATATCTTTCTGATATTCTGAAATATCAAATTGGAAGATGCTGCTTATGTATTTATATGTGTATATATGTATCATTATGTGTGTCTAATAATGTGCCATCAGGATGCAAATCATAAGTTTCTGGGCTATGGAAAGTTTTCCAGCACTAAGTGTTTGCAGGTAAGGTTCTAAAGAAGTCAAAATACTTAGCTGGTAGAAGTCACTGGTCAAAGTCCTGGTGCAAGAGTTTCTTGAAACACTGAACTACCTTTGGTGAGATTAACCCTTGTGTTAGGTGCATTTGCTTTTTTATCTGTTGGATTTATCTGATGTTTAGAAACTCAAGAGTAGGTGAAAGCAAAAGGCTTGTCACTGCTTCACCTTATTTATATCTATGTGAAAAGAAGGTACTGGAATGGACAAGTCCTATTGCCCTAAAAACATGGAGGACATGATGACTAGAGGCAGTAAAGTAGGCTCAGTTAACTAGCTGAATTTATACTGTTTTAATAAATATGTTTTGCTGATCTTGCAAATTTTTCCAAGTTCCAAGGCACATTCAAGGTAATCTAATGCAAGTGATGAAAGCTAGCTATTTTAATAATACACTTTTTTTTTTAATTGCAGTTTATTTCTAAATACAGTAATGATATACATTGTATGTGGAAAAAAAAATACTGGAATTCTGCTCCCCCCTTTTTTAAAAAAAAGAATTTCAAAATATAAAAGAGCCAAAAGAGTATATTTCATGGTTATTTTTTTCTGAAGCTATTTCTAATGTAATCAGCCTGGGAACTTGAAGTCAGAGTCAGCTTGTGTTTGTGGACCCATGAAAGTGACTTTCCTATGTAGCAGGCTTTTTGGCCTCTCCTGGTTTACTCTCATCTCTGTAGCCCTGCCAAATCATCTGGTCAAGACTTCTTATTTGGTACACTTCCTTGTTATGCCTATAGGTAGACCTAAGAATGCCTTCTGAAGGTATAATATGCTCATTTATAATCTGATTGAAATATTGTGATAGGTGTTTTCATTATAAATCTTTATACCAAGATTTGTGAATAGGTATATTGAATACAACAGGAGAAAAATAAGCTGAGAATTTTATTAGTGGCTTAAATTAGTCATTGGGTTGTTTAGTTTTTTTGGTGGTGGTTTTTTTGGTGTGTTTTTTTTTTCTTCTTTTTTTTAAATCTCCCCTGACCATACAAAGTAGGAACACTAATTAAATATGAAGGTCAGAGCAGAAAAATTAAAGTATATGATCAACGCACTTAGTATTGCATGCAGCTACAAGGATTTTGCATTTTCTTCTTTCCCTTTATATATGCTTTCAGCTCCAAGAGAAAACATTAAATAACTTAATATTCTGTAATGTTTAAAAGTATGTTTTTATTCATAACACTTGCCTTTGCACAGTTAAATAGTTACAGTAATATAACTTATGGACTTGACTGCATTACTTTGTTTGAAAGAGAGTCCAGCCTTTGTGTGTGTGTGTGTTCATGATTAAAAGAAACCCAGAAAACTTACCTATATTTCAAATGTAGTTGTCAGGTTTTCTTTCTTTATCACATGATGGAGTAATAAGGTGTCCATCTTTCTATGCTTGTGTTTCATGAAATGGTTCTGAACAACTGTTTTCTGATAACAGTTTTGAACCAGCTGCCTCTTCCATCACCTTTACCTGCTACAACAACAAAAAGCCTGCTTTTCAACGGACGGATAGCTGAAGAGGTGAACTGCCTTCTGGCTTGCAGGGATGAAAATCTGGTTTCACAGCTCGTCCACAGTCTCAATCAGGTGTCAACAGATCACATGTATGTATTTTGAACTTCAACTATATCAGATCATTATCCTTATTCCTTGAAATTAAAATGAACTGAATTGAGAAGGGTGTTTGTGAGAATCTGAAAATTGGAATGTGCAGGTTTTTTATTAGGCTAGTTTAGCAAATTACAGCTGTGTGAGTCAACTGTTTCAGTCAATCAGAACGTTAGTAATTGTCCAACAGCACTTAGCATAACTAATTTTTTTTTTTTACTAGATCTGCTGCTTGTTCCATTCTTGCTAGTTAGGAGTGCAAACTTTGTGGTATTGATTGTGCAATAGTCATTTGTGTTCCACTCTGGTTAATAATGCACATAGATTATATACCCAGTAGTATACAAAAAGATACTTTTTTGAGACACCCACGTAAGACCTGTGTCAGTTCTGATTAGATATTGAACTTAAATATTTTAAGAATTGAACCAGCAAGTATGCTAACATATTCCTTTTTTTAAATATATATTCTTTTTCATTTTTCCCTGGTGTCCTTTGAACTGTCTTATGTTGACAGTCCTGTCTTTTTTCCTACATGTTCCAATCAATGGTTTTGATAAAATGGAAGTTGCTTTTAAAAGTCCTCAAAGCAAAAAATAGGTGTAAGCAAGGATGCATTTATAGAAAATCCATTACATTTTTGATGGTTCAAAGGGAATCCTGTGATGTCAAAGATATGTCAGTTTTCCTTTTTAAAAGAAAAGATCCTCAAAGTGTTGGGCTGCAACCTGAATGTTATACATTCACACATATCTTATTTTCACTTCTACAATAATACTTGATGTTATGTGAAAGCGTTCTTATTTTATGGGGAAGATCATGATATAAAAGTGGGCATATGAAACTTTTTATAATAGTATGAAACTGACAGCCATGTATATATAAGTGCTTATTAACAGAAAATAATTTTGAAGGCTAGTAGGAATAACTCTTCCATTCCTTAAGAGAGAAAAAAAAAATAGAGGCAGGGAACAGTGCTTTGCAGACTTGAGGGTTTTTTTCTATATTTTAACAGTAAATTGTTGTCTTTTGTTTTGTTTGGGGTTTTTTTGTTTGGGTTTTTTTTTTTGTTATGGTGTTGTTTCTTTACTTGACTCATGGTTTCTTGTAATTTGAAAATGCATTTGCCTCTTTATTTGCTTACTTCCCCAATTCCAGAGAATTGAAAGATAACCTTGGCAGTGATGATCCAGAGGGAGATATACCAGTCTTGCTGCAGGCTATCCTGGCAAGGAATCCTAATGTTTTCAGGGAGAAAAGCATGCAAAACAGATATGGGGTACAAAGCGGTAAGGATTTTTGATTATTCATTGATTGTGTTCTGTGTTGTTCTGTAAGTTTAGGGGTCTGATACTAACCACAAATATATATGGAGGACAACTGTGATTGATATTTATGCCTTACCTTATATTTGATAGTGATATAAAGTTATGTATCTTGAGATCTTCTACGTGCAATTGTATTAGAGTAAGCATGGAAATAAACTCTACTGGGTATTTTTGTAAAAAATAATGTTTAATTTCAGTGCTAAATTTAATTTCTAGGATGAGTAATTGGATTTTATTTTAAAGTAATTTAATTTTAATTTCTTTATGGCTAGGTTCATATATTTGTCTTGGTAAATAATTGAAATTGGTAAAATATGCCTTGATCTTAGTGAAAACCTGTACAATTATAGTGTATCATTGTAGTGGTAGTTCTTAATAGTTCTGGGGAAAGTAATGTTAAATGAACCATACTTAACAGCTCCTCCCTGCCATTCCTCTTCTCAGCAATTTGTGATGCCCTACAGATTTTATTGTTTTGGCAGCTAATTCTTTTCTGAGGTTTAGTGAGATATACTGCTAGATATCAAAGATGGAGAAGAGGAGAGACCAAGCAAAGGATTAATCAGACAGATTCTACTTGTAGATCTGGAGACTTCTTCATTTGCACCTGAAATCTTTTCTTTAAATACTAAACTATGAAATAAGTAGGAGAATTTCCAGAGTTATCACAGTGTGAGGATAAAGGTTTGTTAGCATTGTAGAGATATAGATAGAAGTGTTACTAGAGTCCACAGAGGACAGAAAGTGTATAGTGTTTTTTGGAGGGGAAAATAATAAAATGAGACTATTATGTTCGTTCACCTAGGCTAGGGAGTAAAAAGCCATACAATACGTGTTCTGTCCTTAGCAAGTTCTTTTCAAATAATGTTTCTTGAAAGAATGCAGAAATTTCCTGGAATGAAAATGTGAAAGGCAGTGCTAAATATTTAGTAGCTCATTGATACATATATCCTGAAATTTAAGCTCTGAAAACAGTCTCTAGATTCTGGGTTTTGTGGTAGCCATGGCAGAGTATGATTTTTCCAGTTGTGGGAAGAGTTGTGACTGTCTTGCCAGTTTTTGCAGAGTGGTTCCACAAATAACATACGCTTGAATCAGAGTTTTCCACCAATTTTGTAGAGTAAAATAATTTTTTACCAGTGCAAAGGGAGACATAGTTTTTTAATTATTTGTTCCAGCAGAGGCTTTTGAAAGAAAGAAGATAAAGAGAGTTAATTTCTTTCTAATTTTTGCTAATTCTGTGCTTCAGAGGTGGGAGAAAACTTTTGCAGCTTGATTCAACAGGTTAAGAATAATCCTTAATGAAATAAAAGCACATCTATCTTTAGTAAATGTGCTTTGGCCTATGCTTGAAGGAAGGTACTAGTACAGAATTAAAAACAATTCAACATGAAACTTAAAAGAATAGTTGATGTTATTAAAATAAAGTGAAAATGGCTTCAGAGAACCAGAAGAGATCAGACTTAAAACTTCCTTGAATATTTAATTTACATAATTCTGAATACTTGTACCACTGCAAACATGGCAATGTAAGTGTGAAATCAGAAAAATTGAAAGAAAGGAGGAAGAGGGGAAAAGCATAGCTGTAGACTAAGTATTTTGAGAGGAAGGAGGCCCTGGAATTAATGTTTGGAAAAGCTAGGCGAAGTGTGACTTTATTTTCTATGGAAATAGGGGGATGCTTAAGCTAGATGCTGGCAAATTGTGGTAGCCTTGTTATCTGTTAATATATCCCATTGAGATCTCCAAGGCCAAAGGAGGATATACTGATGTGTTCTGGCTGCAAAGGATGAGTTTTCTCCTGCTTTCTGAACAGATTTTGTAATCTCTGTAGAGTCGTGATTTGTAGAACAATTGGGGGTTTGGTAGAGATCTTACATAATGCATTTTGCCAGCTAGAAGAATGAAATTTAGGCTCTTTTCTAATATTTCAAATTCATCTCTTCTGCTTTTCTTACTGTCTTCCTTCTGAATACTGTCCTTCTGCCTTCTGTTGAGTCCAGCATGAAGTGAAGTCAGCACTGGGTACTGTGACCCAGTATTTGTAATGCCCAGAATTAAGAAGGAACGAAGGCAGCAGAACCCCCTGTCTATTTACTCAGCCTGGGGTGGGCCTCTGCATCATGATCCCTTGAGTGTCAGTTCCAGCGTTAGTATGGACAAACTGAATTCAAATTCATTTCTCCCAGCTTTCTAATGCAAGCTTTCTACTTCAATTTTGGCAGCCTGATCTACCTGTTGGTTGTTTTGATGTTCCTCAGTGGACCGATGCTTGGGTATGTGGGCATCTACATGACGTACTTTCACAACCAGATTCTCTATCCGAGCAGCAATATCTTGCCACAGTTCAGCAGCCCAGATGGGCTTACCTCTGCGCTGCCAGTTGCTCTGCTTCCACTGCTGTAACCACCCCCACAGAGCATTTCCAACATCCATGAATCAGTATAGAGGTAAAGTACTGGCCATTTCTCTCGCTCAGCAATGTCCAAAGCCAGCTGGATGGCTTTTACCTCTGCAAACTGGCTTGATTCACCTTGTCCT